GCTTGGATTTGCCTGACTCACCGTCCCTCTTCCCTTCCTTGCCTTGCTCCTTCTTGACGGGCTTTTCCTCTTTCCTCTCAGATCTCTCCTCCTTCTTCACTGCTCTGTCCGCTTGCTTCTCAGGCTTTCCCTCCTTCCCTGTTTTGCCCTCTCCATGCTTTTCTTTGTTCTTCAGCAGCCCTTCTTCTTTCTGTACAGTTTTACCTTCCATCTTCCAAGACTTGTCTTGGTTCTGTGTGGACTTCTCCTTTCTCCCCTCCTTCTCCTCAACATCCTCTCGTTTCTTCGTGAGTTTGCCTTCTTTGTTTTCACGCTTGTCGTCCTTTCCTTCATCCGTCCTTTCCATCTTCACCTTGACATCCTTTGATCTCTCGGCCGCAGATTCTTCTTTCTTCGCCGATTTCCCTGCCCTCTCGTTTGCCCTCTTGCCACTTTCTCTCGCTTTGATGTCCTTCAACGCCTCGCTCTTTGTCTCAGGTCTTGGCCTTTGCGACACATCGATAAGCTCCTCGTCGTCCTCCTCGTCCTCCTCGTCTTTCCCTTTCTTGCCCTCCTTGTCCCGACCTTTCCTGCCTCGAGCGGAACGTTCAGCACCTTTCTCCAGCCGTCTTCCTCTTTCAGAATTCTTGGCGTTCTCAGTTTTCAATTTCTTCCCCTACGATCAAACGATCAACAAAGAAGCAGGGAGCAGAGAGCACTGACCTCTTTTTCTTTCTTCCCACCTTCGTCAAGTCGTATTTTCTTTCGCCTGTCTTTCCCATAATCATCATCATCATCATCATCATCATCATGCTTCCCCTGAGGAGGGTCAGCAGAACTGTTTGCTTCCTGCGCCTTCAATCTTTCTCCTAGCGGAACATCGTCCAGGTCTTCTGCTGCCTCCTTGCTCGACTGCTTGCTTTCGCGATGAGATTTTCTCCCTCCTTTCGCATTCGCTGGAGAGCTCGATTCGTTCTTCGACCCCGCCTTCCGTCCTCTCCTCTTGCCTCCAACTTTCTCCACCACCTTCGTTTCGCTCGCGCCATTCTCTACGTACTGCTTGTAGTTCTCCATCGCCTCCGTGAGCTCATTCAGGTCCAAGTCGGCATGACCGCACGTGTGGTCGTCGAACTTTATCCGCCACAGCGGCTCCAGCTGGGCAAGACATCAGCTGACGCCCAGCAGAGAAGGGGAGGGAGGTCCACCTGCTCGGTATCAACCCCCTTGTACTCGGATTCCTCCTTGGGCAGCCAGCCCCAGACCCTCCCGTTGTGAAATATCTACAAGGGCATGAGAAGGAGGAGGAGGAGATAAAAACTTCTTTTCTTTACCTGACCTCCATTATCCAAATCAACTTTCCACTGCAACGAGCGAGTCACCGACGCAAAGACCTCCTCCTTGCTCCGCTCACCCGGACCAACGCATTCAGGTGTTCTGACTTTTCCGCCCAGGGCTGATCGCGGTGCCACTCCGCGTCCACCTCGACAACCCTCGCCGCAAGCTGCAACTGATGTTAACACACGTCGCAACCAGATCAGTAGCAGCACAACACCGATCCATCGTTGGTGGTGAGTGTAGCTCCTTTCAGTACGGAACTGGGGCAGAAAGCGATCAGAACCGAGAAGAAACAAACAGGCAGGCGGTCACTTGTCGAAAGCCTCGAAGTCATGGATCAATTTGATCGTGCTCCTTTCGTTGCTGAAGCTAGACATCAGTATCGTAAGGGTCAACATGCGATATCAAGGCACACTTGTAGACTTTGATCTTGAAGCTGAAAGAAGACTTGGCGTTCTTTGCTTCTGTCAAAGTTGCTTCAACCTGAAACATCACGTCATGTTTGCATCCTGCGATGACACGCAAAAGCGCAGCAACGGTTCGGAACCTTCATGTCAGGCTGTGGATCTCCAGACAGGTCGGCAATCAGCCTGTCATACACAAATTCAACGAAGAAGAAGGCTCTAGCTATGATTGTGTGAATGATCGCAGTGGATGGTCCTTACACTGTGACACTTGGAGGGTCATCATCTTTGTCTTCAGCTGGTTCTTCTTTTGCCTTTTTCTTCTCTTCCACTTTTGGCCCCCTCTTAGAGCGCGGTCCCTTGGTAAACCTCTCGCTACTCCTCCCTCTTGGTCTCTTCTTCGCTTTCGCATTCGTGTTTGCCTTGTACTCAGTTCCCTTTTGAACTTTCTTGGCCTCCTCATCGGAATCCTCTTCTTGTTTGACCTGGGGCACATCCTTCTGGTCGGACCGATCTTTGTCCCTCCCAGCTTCTTCCTCCATCGCTGTGACGTCAACTTGCATGGCTTCCGAGCCTTGTAAGTCCCCTGATATCTTCTCTTCCCCTTTCCCAGCACTCCCTTCCTCTTTTCCAGCACTCCCTTCCTCTTTCCCAGCACTCCCTTCCTCTTTCCCAGCACTCCCTTCCTCTTTCCCAGCACTCCCTTCCTCTTTTCCAGCACTCCCTTCCTCTTTCCCAGCACTCCCTTCCTCTTTCCCAGCACTCCCTTCCTCTTTTCCAGCACTCCCTTCCTCTTTCCCAGCACTCCCTTCCTCTTTTCCAGCACTCCCTTCCTCTTTTCCAGCACTCCCTTCCTCTTTCCCAGCACTCCCTTCCTCTTTCCCAGCACTCCCTTCCTCTTTTCCAGCACTCCCTTCCTCTTTCCCAGCACTCCCTTCCTCTTTTCCAGCACTCCCTTCCTCTTTCATGGAACCCCCTTCCTCTTTTTCTATATTTTCGGCAACTTTTCCAGCGCTGTGTTCATCCTTGCCTGAACTCTCCTGTTCGGTTACCCTTGCTCCTTCGCTCTCGTTTCCTCCTTCTGACGAATTTGAGATCGTCGGTGGGTTTTTGATACCTTCGATTTCGGATTCTCCCTGGTCTCCGGCAGCGATATCGCCCTCTTCCTGTTCCTCCTTGCTTTCTCCATTGCTCCGTCCCCTCCCCCTCCCCCTACTGCCCCCCCTCCCCCTCCCCCGTCCCCGTCCCCTGGCCTGCCCTTTGGCACTCCTGCCTCCCTTCTCCTTCTGGTCCACATCCTTATCTTCGTGGTCAGGCTCCCCTGACGCTCCTTCATGGTCTTGAGAGGTCATCCTCGCGGGAATCCAACTGAACATTCACGGTCAAGATCGAGCATGATGAAGCAAGGGTGACACAACACATCCCCTTCCTTGCCGTACAGGTGGCCCATCAAGATCATTCCCTCATTCACCGCTTGGTCTCAGCTTTCCCCCCTCCCTCTCTTTTCTTCCTCTGCTCTCATCGTCTCTTTTGTACTGTCTATCAGCCTCCTCCTTCGGTCTTCATGTGAGATGCGTTTATATCGTGTTGTTGGTTATCCCTTCCGCTTCAGCAGGGGTATTTTACGTTTTCAGGTATTTGCATCCTATAAAACGTGTTCCTCGCTCCTCTTTATCCTCTCCTCCATTCTCATTCTGAACTCTCGTTCTCCTTCCTCTGCCCATCTCATTTCTCTCCTCCTATCTGGTCTTATCTCCTCCCTTCCTCTCTCTTCTCCTCTCCTGTCTTCTACCTCCTCTTCTTCTATCCCTCCCTTCCTCTCTCAATTCATGCTGGGCCCCTCGGGTTCGTGGTACCACCTCTTGAATAACGGATCTTGCTTGCTGTAACCGCCTGTGACACCGTGACACTGTGACAGTGCCCGGCCAGTGACACTGCGGCAGGCGACGGGCCGGGTCGCGGCCCGGCGCGTACCGTGCCGGTAGTGCCGCCGGGCGCCGGGGCGGGGCCGCCGGCCCGGTGAATGGCGCGGCGGAGAGGCTAAATGGGTTGGCGAGCCGGCACTGCCGCTGAGTGTGACGGTGTCGAATGCGGCTCAGTGGCGGCGCCGGGCGATAATCCGAGGCGGCCGGGCCCAAACCCTTGACTCAGTGAAGCCTAACTAGTTGCCCCGGACCGCTCAGAGCACCGTCGCGGCCCGGCAGCCCAGGCCCGCCGGATCGGACCGTACCGTGGACTCCGGGAGGCGGCGACAGTGCCGCATGATCCGATCGGAAAATCGGACGGTCACCGGGTGATTCTGCCGGAGACCGGGTCCGGCGGACCGGCGGGCCCGGCCGCTCAATGTGCCGCCGCCGGGACTCGCCGCGCCACCCCCTTAACTGTTGATGATAGCCCACGCCGTCAAGAGTCCGATCTGTGGACCACCCCCTATAAGGACTCTGACCACCCCCATACAAGGCCGTCTTCTTCGACTTGCTTCAAAAATGAGATTTAGTTGACTTGAGGGGTGAAGCAACCCCGGACGGTGTGCAGATCCGGTAAGGAGGGTGGGTCCACGGTCGTTAACAATGGGAATAAGGGGGGTACTCCATGGGGAGGGGCAGGGCCAAGTGACAAAAAAAGAACCAGATGTAGGGGTGGGGGGTGGGGGTAGGGGTAGGGGGTAGCCTCGGGTAGCGGGGGTAGGGGTTAGGGGGGTACTAACTAAGCTTGACTCGGAAGTTGTGGACTACTAAAACTGCGTCCCCTCCTCCTCTTGCTCCTCCTCTTCCTCTTGCTCCTCCTCCCTTCCTCCTCCCCTCTTGCTCCTCCTCTTGATCTCGATCTCGATCTCGATCTCGATCTCGATCTCGATCTCGATCTCGATCTCGATCTCGAATCATACCTTGAGACGATAAAAGTTTCTCGTGCCCTTCAACGTCATGTTGGTGATGAGCATCATGGAAGGTCTCAAACATGAGAGGTCATGACGAGCTCCACTGGGAGAGGTCCCGATCAAAGGCACAGGTAGGCATCAGTAGGGATGTCATCCCTACTGCACCCTGAGAATTCCAAAGTTCATCCGACCACCAGCGATGATGGCATGGAAGCACTTCAACCTCCCCCAGGACCTTCAGAACCTCCGAGGTCATGCCCAAAGTTGATGCAGGTCTTCGTCATGCTCTGCACTCAGCTCCCTGGAGACTTCATGGACAGGGCTGTGCGAGACGACGCCAACAGATGGCACGGCCAGCTCTCCACCTTCCTCTTCTCAGCGGAGCCGCTAACCGCCCTCATGCGCTCGAGAGTCGGTCAGCTTCTAGCCCTTGTGATCGTCGTGCCATGGATAGCTCTGCGAGTGCGAGGGATATCAGAGCTCCGTGACAAAGGCTTTTTCTTCCCCAACGAAGGCAACCTCCACGTAATCTTGGAGCCTCAAGAGTTCCAGCTAGGGCTCTCCTGCGGGTCCGAAGCGAGGCTGGAGCTGCTGAGCGGTTTCCTGCCTCCCATTGCGCTGATCCTCGCTACGCTGGCGGCCATGGCGAAGAGAGTCACCTGGGTTCGGCAGGTAACTTTGATGAAGTTTCGCACGTGTAGGTTGATCTGAGACCCAGATCTTCATCTTGTTCGGCTTCCTGGACGCGATTGTGAACCTCATCGTCTTCACGCGACTAGTCCGGAACGAGCGATACCAGAAGACCATCTCGGGCACTCCAGCCTTCCTCTTCTTGCTCGTTGCGATCAAGGCACTGGAGTACTGCCGTCTTCTGCCTGCCTGACGTCTGTGTAGGACCTGGTGCTGTTTCCTTGCCCGATGCTGTTTTGTGAGTTGTGCGTGATAGAGCTTTGCATGCTCTCGAACTTCATCTACTTGTGTGCAGCAGCCCCTTGGTTTGTGCCCTACGACAGCATCATCGCCCTCGCCCTGCTCTGCTCTGCCCTTCTCTTCCGCATGCTCTTGATACGCAGAGGAGAGAGGCTCATCGAGGAGGACCGATCGGTCTTCACCAGGGAGTGGGAAGCGATCATGAGCCGGGACCCGGAGACTCTTCGGCTCCTCCAAGATCGCGTGAGGGAGCACGAGGCTGCCGTTTCAGCCCATGTTGAGGAGGTTGGGGAGGACGCGCAGGAGGTAGTCAATGTCTCCTGCTCCTGCCGCACCCAACGAGTTTACAAGCTTGTTGCGGGTCTGTCCCATGAGAACGGAGCTCAAAGCATTCAGCAGCGATCAGCCCTGGGAGTAGTTGGCAGTCTCGATCAGTTGTACGCCATAGCGGTGCTTGTTGAGCCGTGCTTCCGACGTAAGGCCCACAAGCTGGCTGAAGGCGCCAACGGGATGCTGGCGCTGCCTGTCGCTGCAGACGGCGGCATGGAGTATGTGCGGTTGCAGGAAGCGCAGGAGGACGCGAGAGCAAGGAAGCAGCTCGAGAGTGCAGGACTGAAGACTGCGAGCCGAGCGATCGAAAAGATCCTTTCCCTGTGCCAAGGAGACACTTCAAGGCTGCTTGACGTGGTGCGGCAGTGTATCGTCTTCGAGCGCCTCCAGGACCTCTGCGACTGCCTCGACCGCATCCTCGAAGACCCTGAGCTGGTAGTGATGCGGATCAAGAACAGGCTGGACCCGAGCTACAACTCGAGGACGACGGGAGGGTACCGGGACGTAGTGATGAACGTGCGGGTGGTGACGGAGAGGACGAGGGAGCTGGGGGTAGCAGGGCATATCTGTGAACTTCGGCTCAGCATTGTCGGATTGCACAGGCTCTGCACTCCAGAGCGCCGGCTGCGGTACCGGAAGTTGAAGCACATGCTGAGGGATCAGGGTGTGTGGCAGAGGTTGACGAGCAGGAGGTCGAAGGCGGAGCTGGTGATGAAGACGAGTGTGTCCTCGATCCAAGAGAGCATAGACAGAGTTTCCGCCCGACTCCTCGAGAAGGACAAGCTGATGGGGTCAGACGTGCAAGAAGAGGGTCAGCAGCAAGATGGCTGCTTCCTTGACTGGACGCTGAAGCTGAGAGGGAGGTACCCAGGAGGCATCATGGACGAGAAGCTGCGGAGTGTTGTGACGGGGATACAAACTTCAATGACATCGAGCGTGATCTTCTCCTCCAGCCCAGTCACCAACGCTCTCCACAAAACAACCTTCCGACTCGCGCTGATCTTCACGGGAATCCTGCTGACCTACATGTACAGCTCGACACACAACATGCGCCCCATTATGAGCAACAACTCTTCTGTTGTTCACGTTGCAAGGCTTGAGATTCTCCAATACCGAGATCAAGTCCCGCGTACCTCCGTGCCCCAAGCTTCCGTCTCCAACTTCACCCTCGTGCTGAACAGCTGTGCAGAGCTTAGCCCCTCCTCCTCCAAGGCTCTCAACGACTCTCTCTACTTCTTCTTCTCTCCCCCAGTGGAGGCCAATGGGTGGCGCTCCTCCCTCAGCCGTCAGACGCAGGGGAAAGGACTCGACCCTGTCGCGTTTCATCTCTTCGTCCTCGACCAGCCGGCAAGCGGAGGTGTTGCGCTACCAGCAGAGAGATGGAAGAAGTGGACAGACTTCTCTTGCGAGGCGACTCCGAGCGAGAGCATCTGCGACCAGGGGAAGCAGAGTACGGGAGCTCGCATCAGCTTCAACGTCGAGGTCAGAATGGACAGGTACTTCTATCACTTCTTTGCCTTCTACCAGCCCTTTGCTTGCTTCTCCTCGGTCTTGGCCTCCCGTCTCGGCCATTACAAGACCTCCAAGTTCTTCTTCGCGTCCTTGTTCCACGTCGTCGGAGCCTGGGAGTTCTATCTGGCAGCCGCCAAGGCGAAAACGGTGCAGAGGCTCATCTACCAGCTCATCTGGGCGATCTCCGACTCGTCCTTCGGGCTTGTGATCCAGCTGGCAGAGCAGTACATGATGAGACTTCTGCCCATCTACTCGTTCCTCACCTCCGTCGGAGGGTCTGCCGCTCTGACAAACTTCTTTCAGAGCTCAGTGACGGTGATCGACATGGGCTACTCCAACTTCATCCTCATGACCGTGTGGCTCTACTTCATCATCGGGCGCAGGGTGCACCTCCTCCATGCCTCTCGCAACATCAAGGCTGAGAGGCAGCAGTACGACGAGCTCTGGTCCAAGCTCTCTGCCTCCGAAGACACTCAGCGATTGTTGGATCGCATCAAGAACGCATCAAAGCTTCATTCGACTGAGAGCATCGCTCAGCGAAGGCTCAACGACTCCGCCGACTCTCCCCGAGCGACCTCGGATCTCCTAGACTGGGTCATGAAGGGCAGCCATGAACACTCGTTCTCCAACATCGTTCCCAGTAAGACCATGTGGCAGGAGAGCGAGGAGCCTCGAGTCACGTCGCTCGACCAGCTCTACATGCAGGCAGTCTTCATACACCCGATCTTCCTCAAGAAAGTTCAAGACCTCGCTGCGACCTCCCGCGGTCTCTTCCCTTCCAACTCCCAGGAGGGGAGTGACCCGGTGGAGTATGTCGCATGGGAGGACGCCATGGGAGACGAGAATCTCAAGCAGAGGGTCCGATGGGCGCATGTCAAGACCTTGGAACGATCGATACAGAAGCTTGTTCGCTCCTACAACAGTGAAGTGCCCAGGCTGCTTGACGTGGTGCGGCAGTGTATCGTCTTCGAGCGCCTCCAGGACCTCTGCGACTGCCTCGACCGCATCCTCGAAGACCCTGAGCTGGTAGTGATGCGGATCAAGAACAGGCTGGACCCGAGCTACAACTCGAGGACGACGGGAGGGTACCGGGACGTAGTGATGAACGTGCGGGTGGTGACGGAGAGGACGAGGGAGCTGGGGGTAGCAGGGCATATCTGTGAGCTGCAGATGATAACGAGAGAGTTCATGGACAAGCGCACTGTAGAAGGACACAAGCTGTATGTAGCATTTCGAAACCTACGATGTGAATAGATGTGAATGTTGTTTGAAACATCAGAGACAAGTCAAAAGTCATCAGGACTCTTGTGTTGTTATACCTGCTGTCCTTCTGTTGAAATCTTCTCATGTTGCTCTTCTTTTCCTTCACTTCATTCATTCTTATCTTCAACATTCATGATGAAGACATTTCAATCTCGCGTTCTTCCATTCCTTCTCATCTGTCTTTGCCCCCCCTCAATTATACAATGCCCTTCATCCTCTGTCCGCATTTTCTCTTCCCTTTAAATTTGGATCTAGGGATTAGGAACGGCAAAACGCGTCAGCAAGATTGCAAGAGATTCAACAAATGTAAGTGAACGACTTCACTGTTTTCGTATTTAATGCTCATCAGACCTTGAAAAAAAACAGACCAACTCTGAATCACTCCGAGTCCTCCGAATCCATTGTAGTTGATTCTGCAGAGGTATTCGGGGTCGACACTTCTTCAAAATTCAATCGCTCGTGTTGGAAAAGAAACAAGCCATTGAAGAAATAATCTAGGTCCTCAACAGTAGAGTCCTGGCTCGGATCGAAACGCATAGCATCATTCCAGTCAATCTTCGGGCATCTGGATCTGGAAGCCAGGGCTGCACCGACGTCTCCAAATCTTTCAAAACATGCAATGATTTCTTCTCGCGCTTCCCACCTGTAGCATCCGTCAGACAGAAACGTTTGCCTTCCGCATACTCACTGATAGCAACACTTCCATTTGACAAGTCTCAGGATTTCCGCTTCTACCTGGTATATTTTTGATCTTGGGCATGATGAAAATTGAATAAAGCTTTGCCATCCATTAAAAAACTGCTCATTTTCTAGTTGATGAAAGTCTGGAACCACATGAGGCTTCATCGTCAACATCGAAAATATGCTGCAGATGGTTATCTCTGCGTTCGGATTAGCCATAAAATCGTCATCCTGTTTGAGAGTGATCCTGACAAAAACTGCATCAAAGGCTTAAATTTCCGTCTCACAAATCTCACAAAACGGAAGCAACAAAGTTTGTGAAATTGATTTCAAGGCTCGAATCCTCCAATAACAAAAAAGCTCCAGCCAGTGTATAACTGAGGGTGAACACGCATGATTGCAAACTTCGCAGCCAATCATCGCAAACCTACCGATCTACGCAGCTTGATGAGCGAAGGAGGCCTGAACATTGATTACGCATCAAAATGTGAACGTTTGAAGTTCCTTACATTCAGCCTGAGAGGAATTCATCATCTCGCAGAAGCTTTGCAAACGTCCTATCCTAAGTTGAAGCTTTGTGGTGCCGCGCCTTGTCATAGGAAAGGTCGGATTTGGCAGACGACATTTTTTCTCTCTCTCCCTTTCTTCAATGATCGGCTCGTCTTGTCTCTTGTCTTGGTGCTCGCATTCCTTCTCTCTCAAACTTCTCGTCGCGCCATTTTCCATCTTTCGCTTCGGCCTCATGCCACAAACTTTCGATCCCGCGCACTCACCTTTCCATCACAAGTACCCCACCGGAGCCTGACCCATTAGCTGAACCCCCCCCCTGGCCACCACCCCACCCTCTTGATTCACCGGTCAACCACACGTCCCTCCGTTTTTACCCCACAACCCACCCCTCCTACCTTACCCTTTTCTTTTTTTCTTCTATTTGACCGATACAACAAAGGGTGGGCGAACTTGTCTGAATAGAAGGGGGTAGGTGGTAACAAGGTTTTCTGTCTAAGAGGGTGGGGTGGTTTTCATATCAGTGTAGACACTGGTGTCGAGGTGGGTGGGGTACTTTCTGTAAAGGGTGGGGTCATGTGAACGTTGAAATTGAGATCATGCAATTTCAGTGATCAGCTGCGGCGGAGGTGAAGCGGAGCAACTAGGAGCGAGGAAGAGGAACAGGAAGAGGAACAGGAAGACTAGATGAGGAAGGAAACACTAGATGGTAAGAAGCCTTCACAGGGTGAATAAGAAGACTTTGAAAATGCTACGAAAGAGGAATGATCGAAAATGGCGAGGATGAAGGGTAAACATCATGAACAGAAAGAGAGGGAGTTATGCAAAAGGGAGGAACACATAGGGCTTTGGGATTTATAGGAGGAGAAGAAGAGCATAATGCAAGGAGAAAAAGAGGACCTTGAGAGTCCTCTTTTTCTCCCGACTCCCAAAGTTGAAAACAAGCACAATGTAATGCAAGGCGATCAGAAGCTGTTTGGCTTTCCAGCATCAGACTGTCAGTGCGGATGGATGAGAGGGTAGAATTATCTATATCTTCTACGTTTTGACAGATTAGATTCCTCGATAAGATGATCGAAGCTGTAAACTCAAACTATCATTGCATCGACAATTAGCTTATTCTCATCTGATTTTATCCAGCAGTTTCTGGACCAACACATTGATGATCCCTTTCGAGGCCTTTCAAGATTGACGAAGTTTGCACAAGACTATAGCAAACATCAAGATGGACCGAAGCTCGCAAGGCGATCGTTTCATGCAGATGGGAAAGTTTGATGCAGCAGCAGCGTCATACACTGAAGCCCTCAGAACTACCAAAGACTTGACAGAGATAATCCGCCTGCTGAGCTCGAAATGTGATGCGTTGCACTCTGCAAAGAGATACGATGAAGCTAGGATGGAGGCTGAACAGATCATCAACCTGAAGCCCGAGTGGTCTCAAGGTCACTATCGGTTAGCGAAGGCTGCACTCGCTATGGAGGAGTTTGAAGTTGCGGAACAAGTGATAGGATTTACTCTCCGATCCTTTCTTGCCAGTGACCTACTCATGCAGGCTTTCACCAAGGCTCTGGAGCTCGTGCCAGGAAATGAGAAGTTCGAGCAGGGGCTCACGGAGACACAGGTTCAGATGGCCAAGGCGATGGGAAATGCGGCATTCAAAGAAGGAGCGTTCGAAGAGGCTATCCAGCATTACACCATCGCGATTGATCTGAATCCCTCCCATGGCGACTTGTATGTCACATTCTCACCCATTCCTCCACTAAGGTGACTTCTTGGAAGGTTTAAACTGCTTTCAAATCGCTCAGCTTGCTTCTGCCATATGTTGCAATATGACAAGGTCTGCAAACCCATCTCATCGACCAAGTAAGTATCTCCGGTGTTGTTGACAGCGTGTTGGCAGGCGCTGAGAGATGCGGATAGAGTGATTAAGTTGGCGCCGAAATGGTCGAAAGGATACTGCAGAAAGGCTGCAGCGCTTGCAGGACAAGGGTTATTGGACCAGGCGGTAACTGAAACATGATATCATTTATCAATTTAAGACGTACACGATTCAGATAGAAGCCTATCAAGCTGCATTGCCCTTGGATTCGGACAAGATAACAATTCAAGGTATGTTTCGCCTTTCGCGATAGATTTGTGACTATCCTCCGACAGGCAGGATCGATAGTTTGGATCAAGAGAAATCCAAAGCAAGAGGTAGGCCGAAATTCTACGCTAGGCCTCCTCACACTGTCTTAGGCAATCGAACATCAGACAAGGACGGAAGGGCAAACACGTATGACGAAATCAGTTCAAAGCAGGATCCCCGTCTCAACTTCACATCCCATGATGACAATCAAAATACACCATTGCAACGTGAGAGTCGAGGATACTCTGCTCAAGGAAAAGGAGTTCCCGAGAATGTGACTCTTACAAGCCCATCTTCTCGTAATGAGCGCTCGTCAACTTCATCTTCATCGTCTTCTTCTACCAAATCCCCATCATCGGAGCAGGCCAAGGGAAACAAAGCCTTCGAGCTAGGAGACTTCAAAGCAGCAATAGAGCATTACAGCCATGCCATGGTCCTTGACCCTCAAAATCATATTCTCTTCAGGTCTTCCGGCTTCAATGTTCTCTCTCACTGAACCATTGCAGCAATCGAAGCGCAGCCTATGCAAGCTTGAGGATGTGGGACCAGGTTGGCCCGCATCCTCGTGACTGTTCAGTTGACCTGCATGCAGGCGATCAAAGACAGCAACGAGTGCGTTCGGTTGCAGCCGAGCTGGGCGAAGGGATACTGCCGTCAGGGAGTCGCGTGCGAGCACTCGGGTGGATGTCAAACCCTAAGTGAGCTCGCAGGTATGAAGGCAAAGGCGAAATGGGTCTAGCGGAGGCAGCCTATGAGAAAGGCTTGGAGCTTGATCCCGAAAACGCCCTTCTACAGATCTCGCTGTTCCGGGTGTGTGTTGGACCCTCAAGAGACACCAAAGTGCATCCGAAAGGTGTGAATTGATTCTAGAAGACTTCATGGTTACCTAATGGCCGCAGCATCCTCTCAGACCAGCGAGAAACAAGAGGCGTCCCACAACGTGCGCAACGCTGCGCCCAAGGTGATTCCCCTTGCCTTCTGCAGCTCGGGCTGAGCTCAGGGAAAGATTGAGGAAGTGCACACGACGTCCTCCAAGTCTAGCTCGGACGCCAAGATGAAGGTGATAAGTTGGGAGAAGTGGGAAAGTCTGACACCATGAGGCAGGGCAATGAAGCGTTCCGAAGGAAGGAGTTCTCCCTTGCAGTCGCTTTCTTCACCGAGGCACTAGAGAACGAGTCAGATCCGCATGTTCTGGCTCTGTTGCTGTCCAACAGGAGTGCGACTTACGCTCAGCTCAACCTTTTCGACCTTGCTCTCAAGGTTGCCCACGTCTTGTTCGCCGTGAAACCTGATGAGTCATCACCAGGATGCGGACCGTTGTATCGAGCTGAGGCCCAACTGGGCGAAAGGAAGACACCGACAGGCTCGTCGCTCTCGTCCGTGGTCGGCTGGTTGAGTTCCTTGCAGGCGATTGCGTTTATGGGTCTCAGCAACTACGATGAAGCAACTCGCTCTTACTCCAAGGCCCTGGTTGCCCGCGTCCCTGCTCCCTCTGTGAGCTGACAGCATGCAGGAGCTCGAAGGCAAGCAGGGCGAACACTACGAAGTTCTCCTTAACGGTGAGAGAGGGTCTTCTGCTCATCGGTAATCATCCGAGTGGCAGGATACGAAAACGCCCAGCGCCTGGCGATGCTGTCGAACCAGATGGAGGACCCGCTAATGAAGGAGCTTTCCAGGGGCATCCAGTCCATGTCTGACCTGAGCCGCGAAGACGCGAGGATTGCTCAAGAGCCCTTTGCTGGGCAGGCAAGAAGGATGAACCGAGGGAGAGCGAAGAAGAAGCTCTCATGGGACACGCGCCCCCCTCAAGTCTTCGTCATCCACTATCCTCCCGAGGAGATCACTTCACGCAAGGTCTGCACGTGACATGTCTCGTCTTACTGTCTGGCCGATTAAGCGCTGTCTGCAGGCTCACTGGCGGTGGATCGAGGCTGAGGCCAGTCGCATGGCAAGGAGCGCAGGATCCGTCTGGAACGGCACCAACGACTATCATCCGAATCGTACAGTGAACAACTTTGGAGTGGACTGAGACTGGGGAGGAGAAGATTAATTATCGATGTAACATTATTAAAATTTTCGTTCACGAGGTCGCTCCTATTCTCCTACTCTCACTTCCTACCATCATGCTCATGACAGGTCAGCTGCGTGTCTCGTGCTGAGAGTGTCAGTCAGTCAAACACTTGTTGCAGGTAGGAAGCGGTGGCTCGATAGACAGCGAGTTGAGCTGGTAGGTTACCGGCAACAGTCAAACTGCGATGTCGGAGGGTTCCTCTCCTCATCGTAACTTAGAGCGATCCTTCAAGACAAAGTCGGCACCGACACCTGCTCCCCATAGTCCTCCGCCTTCTTCCCTGAAGCGCCTTCGCTGTTGATCGCTCGCCCCTGTTCCTGTTCCTTGGACGTGTTCTCCTTGCTCTCCTCTGCGGTTTCTTCCAGCTTCTCCTCTTCCTTCCCCTCCTTCCCCTCCTTCTCCTGACGCTTGACGCACTTGCTCGCGTGCCGCTTCTTGCTGGTCTCGTCTGTGAAAGTCGCGTCGCAGTCCTCGCACTCATATGGTCTCTCGCCCGTGTGCACGCGCATGTGCCTCGTGAGGTTGAACTTGTCGTAGAACTTCTTCCCGCACAGGCTACAGTTGAGGTTTCGCTCTCCTGCATGGTAGCGCTCGTGTCTCCTCAGGTTCGAGTGATGCTTGAACAGCTTGCCGCAGACCTTGCACGGGGGCACCCTCCGCTCGAACCGATTCTCCAGCTCGCTCCGCACGCCTTCCTGCAGCTGCTCTGGATGTTTCCGCACCTGGTGGCAGCGCATGTTCGCCAGGGTGGTGAAGCTGTGCTGGCAGATGTTGCAAGAGAAGGGCTTCTCTCCTGTATGCGTCCTCATGTGGACCTTGAGCTGCGAAGATTCCACAAACTTCTTCCCGCACACATCGCAGGGATACTTCTTCTCCCCTGTGTGGATGTAGGAGTGGCTCTTGAGCGCTGACCTCTGCACGAATCTCTTCCCACAGTGGGAGCAGGAGAACGGCCTCTCCCCCGTGTGCGTTCGGAGATGCGCTTCCAGCGCATCCTTGGAGGTGCACATCTTACCACAGATGTCGCACTTGAACGGCGAGTTCCCATCGTGCACCGAGAGGTGCATCTTCAGATAGAAGTTGGTCTTGAAGGATTTTCCGCAGATCTCGCAAGAGTGTTCACCGCCCTCTGTCTTCTTCCTCCTCTTCGCCCCGAATTTCCCTTCACCGTCGTCCGCTCGTTCTACATCGGCCGGGGGGGTCGGCATCCTGCCGTGAAGTTCTTCTTCCTTGTCCTCGCCATTCCCAGGGCTGGCAGCGCTCGTCCCAGACGTCAAGACTTTTTTCTGCCGCATGATGTCCTACGGAACCACATCAATCCGAATCATCTCAACCACCCAACAAGAGTAGACCAGCTCTCAAAAAACGCATTCGGCAAGCAGCTCAACACGCGCATTCAGCGCCTTCATCATACAAACACCAACTTTCATACATGAATCTCTTCCTCTCTCCATTGACAATCTCCTCTTACCCTCCTCCCCACCCCACCCCTCCCTCTTCCTCCTTGTCTTTCTCTCCTCCTCCTTCCCCTCTGCCGCATTTGCCGGTACTATTCATCTCCCTCATACTCAAATGGGAGGATAATTCATCACCCTCATTCACCTTCCCATGAAACGTTTTCAACGTATTCGTAACGGTCATCGAAGGGTCGCCATGGCCGGACGGTGGGCGGCCATGGTGGCGGTGCCCATGGCGGTGGTCATGGCGCTGGTGATGTGGGTGATGGTGATGCAAGAAGAGAGAGAAGAGGCGGGAAACAACGTCAGGCAGATGCTCATGGCGCGTAGCATCGAAAGGGCGGCGATGGGAGCCAACGAGGCATGGAACCGCCTGAGGGACCATGAAGATATCTGGCACACGTCAAGGGAAACAGAGGAGGCGCCGCCCATGGTCGAGACTCCTCGGAAGTTTGATATCCCACCACTCAACAACCAGCCAGAGAGGAGCGATCTGCAGTACTGGAGCACCACCCAGCAACCGACTCCTGTATGGGTCGACCTTCCTGAGGTACTGTCGAATCCTCCTCCGGGTGAAGAGGGGCCCGACGGGGAGCCTCCATCGAGCGGGTCGTCGGTTGTGAGATGGGGGGCTCCTGTGGTGCGGAAGGTGCCGGAGAAGCTGCTGGATCAGCTCAGGAGGATGAACCACCTCATCCAGAAGGTGAAGGAGTCAAACGAGATGTCAAAGCTGCTGCTGGACGAGGAGGAGAGGACGATGGAGGAGCTGAGGGAGATTCATCAGGAGCATGTCGACGAGCAAGTCAAGGCTCTAGACACAGAGAAGGCCGTCATCAGCAACAGGCTGAACATCCTCAAGCCTCTTCCAGGTCCTCCTGGTATCGAGGGCGATCAAGGGCTTCCAGGGTTGGACGGCACACCAGGAGCACCTGGAATGTAAGCAGCAATCTGAACTACCTGCCCGTACTCACTGATTGCATGCACATGTTTTGATGCCTGTCCGCGCTCCTCATGTTGCCTGCGCCTCTTGTTCTTCTCCTCTGCCCTCCCATACGACTTGTATTCGTCGCTGATAAATAAGCAGGACCGGGCCAAAGGGGCAGAAGGGGCCTGAGGGACCTGAAGGATATCCTGGGGATCCTGGAAGAGGAGGGAAGGAATATTACGATCCTTCGAGATGAGCTGCGGGAGAGCTTGTGGTTGAAGGGTGTGGAACAGCATTGGGGAAGCGAAGGAGGGGCGGCTTTTGTGCTGCTAAACTCTTTCTGTGTGGTGGGGTGTAAATTCAGATGCTATCGAAGGGGATGCGGCAGAGGCTGGACGAGCTGGAGGGCCTCAGGGTTGAGATGCAAGGGGCTGCGCCTGCGCTAGTCTAAAGGGTGTGCAGCAGCTTGCGGTTGTGAATGAATGTCTTGTGACGGTCCTGGCCCGTCATGTCTGTGGGATGGCAGAGGAAGAATACTCGTCCTCCTGCTGGGGTGACATGAAAGGAGCTTTCTACATTCATGTCAAACTTTACAGTTCAAGCCATTTCCGGTCTCTTCACGCCGCTCTTGGTGCCCTTGGCGCTTCCCTCACCTCCAACCTGCCGCATGCCATCATCCTCCTGCCCTTGAACTCAACTTCCTCCTCTCCCTCACCTTCCGCTTCCTCTGGCGCTTCTGCTTCTTGTTGGCCTTCTCGAGCATGAGTGATGAATACTTCTTGACCTGCTCTCGGCGTCACACTCCCGTCACTCCCCGCGGCTCAGCCCACCTGATCGCGATCCGGAACGTCTTCCTGGTCATCATCTTCCACCTCATCGTCCCCGCTGTCGTCGTCCGCATCATGAGGGATCTGCTGCAGCGTCAACACGCGAGGTCAACGGAGCGACGGGTGCTCCTCCCACCTGGATGCGGATGTTGTACGCGGGCATTTCAACCTCCTGCGACAGCAGACGGCAAGTCAGCACTCGACCGCCACTCTCCCAGCATCTTCGCACCTGAGATGCAAGCAGCTTGTCCTGAGCGTGAGAATCCACCTGCTGAGCCGACTGCTGATCTCCTTCCACTATGTCCATCAACCTCATCAACTTGGCTTCGCACTGAGCCAGAACCTGCAGAGAAGATGAGGGAAGCCACAAAAAGAAGAGGGAGAGGGACGAAGGAGAAGAGATCAGGGCAGGAGGAGGACGTCGTCTCACCTCGACCACCGTGGAGTCTGTCATCACGACAGCCTCCTGATCTACTTGGATCGGTTCCAGCTTGTCAGCGAGATGCTCCACCCCAGACTTGACGTTGATGAGAATCTTAGCGATTCTCTCGTACTTCTGCTTGTTCCGTTCGCACCTGGCGAGTGAGGGTGAGAGGCTTTCTCCGCGCTACAGTCACATCTCACTTGCTGTTCGCTTCCGACAGGTGACTTTCAAACTCGTCAACAATCCTTCTGGACCCCAGCGATCCCGTCCCGCTGTACTTGATCTCCTCTACCTTGGCTTTCGCTTGAGCCTTCTCCTCGTTCAACGCGTCGATCCTCGCCTGCCAGATTTTCACCGGACACATAAGTCAGAGGCATGAAAAGAAGGACCTGAGCCTCCTTGGTCATGACCACGAGGTTGCTGTGAGTCTCATCCTGAGTCAGGAACTTTTGAATCACTTCGTTAACGTCTGACACTCCGGTGGCGTCCTTAATCTTGCGGAAAGCCTCCTCGTAGGTTGTGATCTTCTTCTGCTCTTCTTCGAGCACATGCTCGTTGAGAGCAGAGTGGAATGCCGTGCTGAACAGCGTCTTCTTCATGTTCGACTCACTGGGATCCGCTTGCTCTCCTCCCTCCACCAGCTGCATCTCTCGTCTCATCTTGTCTCTCTTCTCCAGTCGCTGGTTCATCTCAACCTTCTGCTGCACCAGGGCTCGGCGATCTGCCAGCTCCTTCTCTCGCTGCTTCTTCTCCTCCATCAGCTGATGCTCTAGCTTCAGCAGCTCTGCCTTGGCCACCTCCTTGGCGTGCTGCGCATCATGAGACATGAGCACCAGCTCCTCTAGATCCTTCTCCTTCGCTTTCAGTGTGCGCTCTATCGCTGCCAGCTGGTTGTCGAACCCAATCCTCTCTTCCTTGAGACGCTTCACGATCTGCTCGTAAGTCTTGCGGATGGACTGAGCTTCGTTGTACTTGATCATCGCCTTGTCAAGGCGGTTCTCTAGCGTCCTGATGTTGCGGGTCAACGGAGTGTCATCGTCCTGAAGCTTCGCCATCTCCTTCTCCAGATCCTTCAGCTTGTCTTGCAGAGACTGCAGCTCCTTCTGACGGAACTGACACTGGTGACGAACGTCGTCGTGCCTCCTCCGGAGCTCTTGCACCTGTTGCTCCAGCTTGCCGATCTCTGAATCCTTTCCCGACGACTTCCCTTGATCACTCATCAGCCCTGATAGAGTTGACCGGAGCTCTTTGTTCTCTTTCTTGAGCTTCGCGAGTGCTTCTTTGTTCTTCTTGACCTCAAGTTGTGTGTGTTCAAACAGCGACTTGCGGTCGTTCTCCAACATTTGAAATCTCTTCTGCAGCTCTGCATACTCATCGTCGGCGCCAGGAGGTCGTGCCATGCTTGCTAAATTAGTTAGACCCTGCACGGAAAATTCAGGAGCATGAAAAGTGAAGGCAAGTTGCTCAGCAGAAGCGTTGTTCTCGCAGGTCCGTAATTGTTCGCCGATTTATCTCTCATCTAGCAATTCCTTCCTTTCTCGTCTTCACTGTCTACATTCACATCTCTTCCCTCAACTCCTCACCCCTCAACTTTCAACTACCTATCCTTTTGTATGTATCGTTTTCTACGCTCAATCTACTGCGTCTGGTTCTTTCAATCCTACTTCTCTTCCTCTCCTTTATATTTTTACCTCTCGTCACCTCACAGTCCGTTCCTCACATCTTTTCTGCTCTCAATCCTACTATCCTCCCGTTCAATGCAGTCCTTCTCTCCTGTTCTCTTTCTATCCTCGTATGTTGGACTTTCTCCCTGATTGTCACTCTCGTCCTCTCTACTCCTCCTTTCTCCTCCTCCTCTTCGTCGCTTTTCCTCTCTATGATCTCCTTTTCGCTGCTCCCATATGATCTCATCTTTCCGAGAAGATCATCTCATCTCATCTCATCTCATCTCATCTCATCTCATCTCATCTCATCTCATCTCATCTCATCTTCTCCCTCCTCTCTCCTCTCTTCTCTTCTCCTCTCCTCCCCACTCCTCTCCCTCCCCTCGCATGTTCGCTTCTCAACCGTTGAACTCCCAACGCGCCTCATCACCCCACCCTACCAAACTTCTACCGCCACCCCCGAAATAACCCCCTTGAATTCATGCACCCCGAGTTTTATACCCTACCCCCTAATTTCAACAAAGTATCATAAGAATAACCCTTTGGAAACCCCCAACCAACAGTACCCTACCCCAACCACAAGACCCTGAATCATCGGTACCACTCTTATTGGCACCCCTACCTGGTTTCGAAGTGGACCCCCTTCTACTACCCTCACTACCCCCACCGTTCCCCCCATTGTTGATGGGATTGGCGGGAAGTTCGGAAAATGAAGACTTGAAGGCGAGAAGGAAGAATATGAACCAGGATACGAGCATGAACAAGGATACGAGCATGAACGAGGATACGAGCGTGAACGAGGATACGAGCGTGAACGAGGATAAGAAATCAGGCATGGCAGAATTATACGTGCTACCAGGCTCTTCAAATCCCGACATTGAAGAAAAGCTCCTCAAGGTGAGTTCTCATTCAAAACCTGCAGACACCTGTGAAGCTTGTTTGAACCAGGCGAGGCAGTCGCGGAGGGAGCGCTTGAAGGCGCGTATGGAGGAGGTTGCCAGAAGTTCTCGACCAGCAGGCCTGGCGATCGAAGTCAACGAGGACGAGACTGATCAAGCACAGGCTCTCGAACTGGTATCTCCCGCTAGGCCAGCACAGGCCCTTGATCTGGTATCTCCTGCTAGACCAGCACAGGCTGAATGGGCTGTGACAGAAGTTAGTCCAGCCATTCGATCTCATACACATCCTGAACTGAGCAATGCTGGGGAAGTGCAGGCGAACAGGTCTCCTGCTGTTCACAAGGTTAACACAGACGCGCTCGCGAGAGAGATAGCTAGCTTCCGGAAGAGCGCTGAACAGACCCGATCCCAACAGAGGCAAAGCTCAAGGCGGGAGAAGCAAGGAGAGGACGATGAAGCGCAGGATGAAATTCACTCTTCTGACGACCCTGCTGCAAGGAAAATGAAAGACGAGGAGGAAAATGATATTTCTATCAAGGATCCAGGACAAGCTCCCCATGTAGATGGTGCAGGAGGGGATGATCGAAAGGATTCAGACATCAATCAGAGTGTCCTGGGAGTGAACCTTGACTGGTTGAAGAGTCTGCACAGAAGGCTGGCACCTAGTGTTGTGTTACTGCGTCAAGCCAAGATCAAAGTGATCGACGGTGATGTGAGCACCTGGAAGGTGATTGCTGAAGTCGGGGAGCTGCTGAACAACATCAACAACTACGTTCAAGGAGCTGCTGAGTCCGTGCAGGACAAGCTGACTTTGTGGCAGTCCTGCGCCTCGAAAGACAACTTGGTCCAAAGTTCGTCGGGGGAGAGAGGAAGCAGAGTTGAACAACTGAAGCAGCAAATGTCCCTCCTGCAGCAGAAGTGCGATGAGCTGACCAACGCTAAGTCAGAACTAGAATTGAAGCTTGAGCAGACAGAAGGTCGACCTGGGATGGATTTCAAGACTGCCTTCTCTGGCAAAACAGACAAGACGAGACGACAGCTAGAGATGGATGCGGCAAAGTCTGCCGTCCGTCTAGCGAAGGCGATCTCGGAGAAGAAGAGGATCGAAGACGAACACAACGAGTTTGTGCAGAAGATGGATGAAAACTACAACAGACTGCATCAAGTCCTTTTAGAAAGCTTTCAGACAGCAGACGGGAAGAAAGAGCTGATAGACCGTGCCATTTCCTCCAGCACTGAACAAGCCAAACATGGAAATTTGTCGTGGGAACTGAAGTGGACCAATCTGTTGAGTGTCATTCCTAAGCTTCTTGACAACGAAGATAAAACAAAGGCTGAAAGGATAAAGATAGATCAAGATCGTGAAGCTGAAATCTTCAAATTGAAAGCTGAGGTCGGAAACTGAGTTGTTATGCTGTTGTTTGACCTCCTGTGTTTGATGATAGGTTGATGCCCTGCAGAAAGAATTGAACAAGACAAGGAGATGCCTGTCAGAGGAGCAAGCCAACGTGCTAATACACAGGAAACAGCACGAGGAATGGAAGAAGAAAGCTGAGAATCCTGAAGCCGAGGCCAAACTCCTCCGCTTACAAGAGGTAACGCTGCAGAGTCGTTTGATTGTATGATTCATTCACTCTGACGTAAAGGAGCTCAAGAATGCTGAGGCACTTGTCAAGTCGAAATCCGAGAATGTTAAAAGTCAGCGGCAACATGTTGGTTCTTTCTGAGCTGTTCGCAGGAGATTCGATTGCAGAACGAGGTAATCGACTTGACTGGAAGACTTCAAAGTGCGGAAAAACTCGCCAAAAGCCGCGCGAAGTCGAATGACACCGAGATGGCGAAACGTGCGCTGGAGTCTGCCATGGAGGATCTGGACCGGGCTCACGTAGAGGTGAGGAGACGAAGGGAATGGGGGCGATGAAGAGGTTGACGACTGTGAGCAAGTGCCTTCGACTTCGCGATCAGAATACCTCGTTGATGAAGGAATCAAAGAAGTACAAGGTACAGCTCTGCCCGCGCCATCGCATGGGTCTTCTAAAGGGATGTCATGGCAACAGGCCGAGTCCACGGCGAATCTCTCGCGGTACTTGTGAGTTTGGAGAGACCTCGACGCTCATCGTTCTTCTTCAGCGTTGAAGCGATCTCTGCACAACTCGACTGCGAGAGGAAAGCGATGGTGCAGCAAGTGATGCACATGCAGGCCCAGGTGACGCTCATCGCTCGTGTGGTCGGAGTAGAGCTGAGGAGGCTGTCAGGTCGACGACGTCATGGCCAAGATGGAGCCCGTGGTGATCAAGTGCAACGACCTACAGGCAACGGCAGCTGAGGGAGGGAGTGGACTGACAGCTGACAATAGAAGAAGTGCTTCAACTACAGGCGGCAGATTTCAGACCTCGAGAGGCTGCGTGACAACATCCAGAGAGAGCTCGTGATGGTGAGGGAGGCGAGAGGAGGGGGGGGGAGCTGTTGAGGCTGCTGCAGGCGACGAGCGACGAGAGGATGGAGCACGTCTCTGCCCTGAGCTTCGAGGTGAGGGAAGAGACAAGCTGCTGGGCTCCTCCTGACACTTTGGGACAGGTCGAGACGTTGAGGCAGCAGCACAAGGAGTCGCTGCTGCTGCTGCGCAAGTACGAGAAGACCATCAAGATTTTAGCGCAGAGAGCGCAAGTGAGGAAGGAGCAAGGAGGAGGATCGGAGAGCCTTGCCGACTTGCTTCCTGTCATGGAATCCCTGGTATGTGGCGAGGGCTGCTGCTCGCCTGCTGCTCCGAGGTTGCGAACTGAAATTCAGTGTGAAGGAGCTGGTGGACTGAAGGAGCCTTGCTAGCCTATGAGATCGATGCTTCTTGCCTTCATCTTACTTCGCCTTAACCTTCTCTCCTCTCCTCTCAACTTGTTTCCTCTTCCTGCCCCTCGCCGCTGTCGCTCGTGTGACGGTCGAGGAGGAAGTCGGTCGCCTTGACAAGCTCGCTTGTGATCTCCGGGTCATACATGGAATGTCCTGCTCCTGCTACCAGCCTCAGCTTCATTTCCGGCCAGGCCTCATGCAGGTCCAGCGCTGTCCCTGCACCGCAGTCACCAGGAGGGGAAGGCCGGTTGGCAGGAGAGGAGCAGGAGCAGAGAGCAAGGGAGTACATGGTGGGCAGATGTAGTCGGCTGCTCCTTGCACTGCTATGCACGGAATGTGCCGAATCCGCTCCATGCGCTGCGGCTGAAGAATCGCCTCCTCCTCCAAGAAGCCCCCATGCAGAGAGTACCAGCAGGTCAGCATGGCCTGCAGATCATGTCGGTTAGAAGGCGAGGGGCGAGGGCAGCTGACCTGAGCAGGCACATAGGGGGCTGAGGGGGCCGGCCGACTCTCTGAGACAAGACAGTCACTGAGAGTTTAGAGAACAAGGGGCAGGCAGACGGTTCCCGTTGGTCTTGGAGGTGTTGGCTGTCAAAGTGACAGAGCTTCTCCTCCTCGCCTGTTCCTCCTTCATTCCTCCTTCATTCCTCCTTCATTCCTCCTTCATTCCTCCTTCATTCCTCCTTCATTCCTCCTTCATTCCTCCTTCATTCCTCCTTCATTCCTCCTTCATTCCTCCTTCCCCTCCTCCAGCCCTCACCTCTGCCTTCAGCTCCTCCTCGTCCTTCCCGTCCACGAGCCACCGACTCCCGTCCCACTCGACAACAGAACTTGCAGAGAGCGTCCCAGTCGCGTTGAGGACAGCAGCTTGATGCAGGGAGGACACACTGTACTCCCACGAGAGCCACCTGAAGCAGACGTCGGCTCCTGCATCGCACACTCACCTCCACCTCCTCGCAGCTGCTCCTTGCGTCGTCGTGTTGCTGCTGAAAAGTCTCCTACGCTCGGGTCACTCGCAGCAGGCGCGCTGAGACGCGCATGCCTGCTGTAGGCCTCGAGGACGGTCTTGCAGCTGACGGTCTCGTGCTCCCTGCCGGCGCATCAGCGACGGGGGAGGGCGGGCGGGGCCGCACAGCAAGTCGCTCACGAACTCCTTGTATGCTCGAGGAAGTAGAGCTCGACATCCTCCCTGCGTCTCCGTCAGCCCTTGCGCCTCCTCCCTCTCCTCCTCAGGCCTCAGGTCCGAACAGCCAGCAGATCTCCTTGGCTCGCATCAGACACACTCCTCGCAGCACCATCGCCCGGACCTGCTCGCGTCAGTCTCCGGCGCTGCCGTCTCCACGACCTCACCCTCTCCGGATACTCCTGCGAGTACGCAAGAGCGAGAGTGCTTCCCCAGCTACCCTAAAAGAGCGTGAGAGGGAGGGAGCGAGCGAGCGAGGTTACCCCGAGCACGATGTCCCATGTGGAGACGTTGAGATGGACCCTCAGCCTCTGCTGGGACGTCAGCTGGAGGAGGCAGCAAGAGTCTCTTCCTCAATGTCGGCGATCAGGTTGGGCGTGTCGTTGTTGTCGATGCTCCTGCCGCGTCTCATCGCGTCAGTGCTTCCAGGGCCACACAGCTCAAAGTTTCACCCCCGCGGCGTCGAGGATCCGCAGCCACGCTGATCGAAGAGGACGACGCGACATCTGCGCTAGAGCTTCAGCTCGTCGCAGTCCCCAGCCCTCATCGACCTCTTGGGGTCGAAGAAACGCGCATGTCGAGGGAAGCTGCCTGCCCCAGGGCCGCCATGGAGGGAGAGGGCAACATGTTGCGAGGTGCTGTTGCCGTAGACGTGATAGAAGAGCGAGTGCGTGTCGTCGACTGGCAGGAGCCCTTGCTGGTTCGGCTCAGTCGGCTCGTACAAGCCTCTGCGATCGCTCCACAGCGTCACTCTGCTCCGTCCAACTGCTCCTGGACGGAGGCCGTGGGGTCTGAGGGAGATGTGGGGCGAAGGAGCAGAGCGAGCGAGACGGAGCGAAGGCGCGAAAGAGAGAGAGAGAGAAGTTGCTGATCCCACCAGACCTCCTTGCACGAGAATCCCTGCCACCAGGAGGAGGCAAACCATGCTTCCCGTTCTTCCACCTTCCTCTCAAACGCCTCTCCGTCAGCTTACGAGGCGCGGGCTGTCTCAGAGCTCATCGCAAGTGGCACGTGCCTGCTGAGCATCGGATGACTCTTCTATCCTCGTCCTCCTCCTCCTGATCCAACTCGCTTCCTTCCTCCCTGCTTCACTCCCTTGCCCACCCTGTGTAGCCTCCTGTCGCCCACAGACATGGTTTCCGGTCTACCATCTTTCACGGATTCATCCCAGTGCTTTACTCACGCCCTTAGATCAGCCAGTGCTTTACTCACGCCCTTAGATCAGCAGGTTACCAGCAGGGGATCACCGATGATCTCACTGGAGCCCAGCAGCCTCCTGGCAGAGATTCTAGCCCAGCAGCTGCCTGGCGATCTTCAACGGGCGGAGATTCCCTTCATTCCACACATACACTTAAATATGTGCATTCGGCACAGCAATAATGCGCTCACGACCTTCAAGAAAGCAAAAGCACAGCAGCAGCATAGCTTTACCTTGCTCTGTTCCCCTCCCTCGCCAGTACGACAATATAACCCCTCAACTGATTGTGACTCACGATTTCACTTGGCCTCCACATTCAATCCTCACAATCATTCAAGAGAAAGTAAAGAACTCTAGACCAAAAAATTACCAACTAATTATAGAACTGTCCCCGAATCTTGAAACTCTTATCTCCTCTCGCGGCCTCTCCTCATCCACGTCTGCCTTGCAACCGGAACCCTCCAGTCCTCCTTCCGCTATGAACGATTCAACCTCAAGCTCTAGACATCGCATCCGCGTAGAAGATCATGCCCACGACACTTCTGCCTCCATTGTACTTCCTTCACTCTTCGAACTATCCGGCCTGATCACCTTGCAGTCTCACTGTCAAAGGCCTCGACTAAACCACCATCCTTCCAATCACACCTCCTCGTGTCAAGGCCAACGCTTCCTCGAATCAACCTGTTCACTCAAGCCTGATGCGGATCTGATTTCCTTCCAACAAATGTCCATTCATTGCTGCACATAAATCAAACCAATGCATCGTACAAGTCAACACCTCAATGATTGACCTACCTGTTAATGCAGTGCGAGCGTCGTTGGTATTATCGAAGACCACGGTCCCTTGACCGTCTGGATACACATCAGCTCTGATAACATTTCCAAAGCGTTTGAAAAGATCTTTCAAAGTCTGCCATGCAATCGACCTTTCGAACATCAACGTCACCAGTAATAAGCCACTTTTCGATAGGCACCTTGGAATGTTTTCGATGAGCAGACGACGCATCTCCCCTGCGGCTGCGAATCTTGAACCAGCAGCGGGCGCCGCCCCCCATGCAGGCGCTTCACGGCCGCCCATGTAGCCAGCACCACCCATGTATCCAGCACCCGCGCCCATCCCGTAGGGATCCCCACGATCATACATTTCACGCATTCGTTCAAACATCATGCTCCACATGTCCTCCATCCCGCCACCCATTGCACCCATGCCATCCCAGCCCTGCATTCTCATGAGATTCACAATCAGAGAAGAGGAGCCACGGTCCCTACCGGGCGACCCATCATGTCGTCACGCATCCCCATCATACGAGGGTCGTCGAACCTGCGAGGGCTTCTGTCTCGCATGCTCCAGCTATCCCGGCCATCTCGACCCCAGCCACCATAATCTCCCCTGAAACCGCGTCCGAATCCTCGATCAAAGCCGAAACGATCCATCCCATAGCCATCGAAGCCTCGTCTATCATGCTTGTCCACCTTGGGAGCAGCGGCCTAGCGAGAAAACGGTCAGGGAAGCAAGTCCAAGGTCAAGACAGCAATGAGTTGCACCTGTGCGGTGCATTCAACGCCTTTGATGACGTGTTTTGGCTGTTCGAGAGCTTGACTTGCGCTGCTTGGATCTTGAAATTCTACAAACCCACAATTCTTGCGTTTCCCAGTGGCATGATGCACAGGCATGAAAACATCAGTAATGGCTCCGAACTGCTCGAAGTACTGGCGGAGATCCTCTTTTCGAAGGCATCCAAGTCAGAAGGAAGAACAGGATTCATCTAGACGTCAACCTGGTTCCACAGCATCTCCAAGTCGGCCGATGAAGATCTTCGTCTTAGACAGGGCCGGCCGTCCTTCATCATGCTTGAATCTGTCGCCCGTGTCTCTCAGTTTGAGATCCAAACTTCTTCCTTCCATGCTGTGCTGCATGTCCTTCACCCGAGTGTTGGTTTCCTCGTCCTTGTACAGGACGAAGCCGAACCCACGGGACCTTCCTTCTCGGCTGAACATTAGCTCGCACTCCTGCAGCTCTCCGAACTGAGCAAAGTAGTCTCGGAAGCCCTCACTTGTTATATGATACGGAATCCCGAAGACTATCATCTTCTGCTCGGGTTTGGCTGTTACATCAGACCCGTTTGCTTCACTGGAACGGAAAGTCATGGGCAGCGGAGAAGGGCGATTATAAACTCACCCGACGGCGCTCATTCTTTCGATATCGAGATGTCACTGAGACGACAAAATCAGACGTGGGAGGCAGAGGAGATGTATCATGACACAAACACGTCAGGAAACATCCAATCCCTGCGCATATCGACTGCTTCTCCCCCTCCCTCCCTTCCCCTCCCGCACGAGCCCACCATACCTGCCGCTCCTCGCCCGTGATGAACCCTACCCCCTTATCGCTGTGTACCTACCTCATGCCATGCCCATGTTGCCGACACCCCTCCTATCCAAAAAGAACCCCCTATATTGTTTTACTACCCCTCCCTGTTGTTAAGAACAATTTATTGTCACCACCCCGAATGGAAGACTAAATTCTTTCAAAAGTACCCCGTACTTTACACCCTCACCCCATCATGGTTTCCCTACCCTACCGTATTTGATTTCAGTCCCTGCACTCTGGGTCATAGTACCACCCCCTGGAACCACCACCCCCTCCATAGATTCCACCCCTCTTGATCGAGTTCAGTCAAACTGTGCTAGTTGTCCTGTGACAGTGTGACGGACGCCGGGGCCCGGACAGTTCGGAGCATATGCCGGGCCGGCCGGGCGGCGTCACCTCCGATGGCTCGACCGGACGGACGGGCGTGACAGTCCGTCAGACGATGGTCCCGACGGTCCGAGCCGCGGCCGTGCCGCCGCCCTGCGGGCCGGCCTGATCTGACCGGACCGGGACCGTCGGACTCGGGGAGCACAAGTTTGTTAGACTTGGACTTGCCAAGTTGTACTATGCTAAAGTCACGCAGATATCCGGGGCCCTAGCAAATCTGGTCTTTTTTTTTCTACTTTTTTTGGGGTTCACATGGAGTCCACCCGACCATGCACGGTTCACTATGGCAGGCCTTTCGTTAATTTGGCACTTAAATTTTTCGGTAGAGCGCGGCGCCGCACTGCGGGTGACTGCAGAGGCTCCGGGCGGCCCGCCGGCCCGGCCGTTTCAGTCCAGTCACCGGTCCGATCTTGACTCACTACCGTCCGTCGTCCGATCATGGCTGAGTCTGGGCCGCCGGCCCGCCGCCTGCGCCGGCCGCCCGGGCCGGCTGCGGCTACTAGCCGGGCTGACTCAGTGACTCCGAGCGGACTCCCGCGGCTGCCAGGCTAACTTGAACTTGAACTAGGTAGCGGAATAACCCTCCCTAGAGAGCCATATAATGACTTGGGGAACAATCGAAAAACTTCAAAGATGGGGGTGGGGTGGGTCGGGGGTCATGCAATGATGGGAGGGGTACCGTCAGGGGTACCGTACGGTTGGAGAGTAGGCACTGTTGAGGCAAACCGTGAGACCCGGGCTCGAGTCCACAGTAGGGGTGGGCGCGGGAGCTGGTAGGGGTGGTGCTGAGAGATCCGAGGAGCAAGGCAAACAAGAGTGGGTGGGGTAGTGTAGGAGGATGGTGGGGTGGTTAACCGTTTGACAAGTTGGTCATTTGGATCATGCAAGAAGCGAGGAGGGGATCGAGGATCGAGGAGATGGAGGGAGGATGGACTCGGGATGGGATGGGATGAGGCGGATGATGGGATGGGATGGGATGGGATGGGATGGGATGGGATGGGATGGGATGGGATGGGATGGGATGGGATGGGATGGGATGGGATGAGATTGGATGGGAATGGATCAAGGAGAGACTGAAAGAGGGAAGACGAGCACAGATTCGAGAAGCTGCACAATAGAAAGATTGCGAGGCTTTCTTACCACGCAGGAATTCTGCAACGAACGCTAACTATGAAAAAAGGCTTTATGCTTGCTTTGTCAACGTCACGTCTGAAAGAGTTAACCTAACTTCTTGCGTGTCTGCAGCTTCCATAAGCTATGCATCCTGCAGAATGCCGAGCTACAATCTCAGGTTGAAATGGAGTGAGATGCAGGCATGACGCAAAACCTTCCGCTTGGTTGGGAAGAGCGCGTATCAAAATCAACAGGGTACACCTACTACTACAACAGGTTGGATTTAACTCCACTAAGATGTTGTTTGGTTTGAGGTTTGCCCTGTTGCAGGCTGGATGGAACGAGCACATGGAACCGTCCAACGGCAGGTTTGCACCCATCAAGTTTCAAGGGTTTCAATGGAGTCACATCTGCTGACAGAGGCTGCCGCCCACACGTTCTCGCTGCCTGGTTCGCCGATGCGCAGGAGCACGATACATCAGTTCGCGGAGGAGAGAGGAGATCGGTTCTCGTACAACAGCGCACATCCTTCATCCACGCATGATTCCTTCAGCCGGCAGCATCATGGCTCGGCGCGGGGGCAGGAGGTGGCCAGGTCGCCGCTCATGGCATCTTCTCCCTTGCGCGGCGCATCCCGTCGAGGTGCGTACATGCTCGCGACTGCTTCCTCCTACCCGCATGCTGATCTGACATGATCCCTCCTCCATTCAGAGCCTGGGAGACCGATCCTGTCTTCCGATTTTCACAGCGACGCTCAACGGGACCCTGATGCTCGGGTGAGCTCTGCCGCTGGCATTCCGCCTCTTGCTGACTGTCACCTGATGGGTGGGAGCAGAACGTGCGACCCAGCGTCGAGATGAGCATCTTCGAGGAGGAGCTGGACCGGCACATGTCCATGAGGTCGAGCAGAAGCGGCGACGGGGATGCTCGAGGTCAGCACGGGGTTGTGAGCGACGTGGTGCTGGATACGATTTCCCTCATGCAGCGGGAGCTGAGGACGGTGAAGGAGACCGTAGCATCGCGGAGCAGCGAAGCTCTCGACGTCCATCCGCTGAGAGAGGAGCTGGAGCGGATGAAGAAGGAGCTCGACGAGCGCAACGACGAGATAGCGAGACTGAGAGAGCTGAGGAAGGACAGGGAGGACACGCTCAACGCCTACAGCAGGATCCGAGAGCGCACGTCGAGAAGAGATATCGATGAGAACCAGCCTTCTCCCTCCCTGTCCAACGTCACGTCGGTAGGCGGAGTGTTGAAACCGATCCCAAAGTCCCCGACAGCGAGGAAGGCGATGGGGGTACCAGTGACCTACAGCTCCAAGACTTCTCTCATCCCCGTGGCGGACTCCTCCTCAAAGCCTTCACGACAGAAGTTCTCCTCCTCTGCCACTGCTGAGATCATGCAGTTCCACCAGGCGCAAGAGGACGCCAAGGAGCGAGCCAAGTCCGCTCCCCGCATGCGCCCTTCCTCCAATCAAGATGTCCTGGCACTGGAATGGGAGGACACGAGGAGCAGGCGGGACGACCGACGACGCAGCGAGGTGCCGAGGACGATAACGAGCGGGGAGGAAGCGGGAGGAGGAAGGGAGAGGCAGAGAAGCCACTCGGTGAAGGAGGAGAGGGAAATGTCGACCAGGAGAATCAAAGAGAAGCTGAGAAAACTTGCAGTGCCGGAGTATAAGATCCGGTTGCTCCTCAAATCCTCCTCTAGCTCTCCCCTCTTCGTTTCCCCTCCCTCCTCTCCCCCTCTCCCTCTCCCTCTCCCTCCTCGTGTCCTCTCCCTCTCTCCCTCCCTCCCACCCCCCCCCTCTCTCTCCCCTCACTCCCTCTCGCTCCAACTTCGGCTCTTTCCACATGCCCTGGGCGTCGCCTCTTGACATCATCGCAGGGAGTGTGTGGAGAAGAGCGACCTGCAGGCGCTGCTGGACCACTACGAGAGCCGGCAGCAGGCCACGGACGTGGACGCGAGCAGACAGTTCAACGGGCTGGACCTGGCGGTGGTGCCGCAGGCTGAGCGGAAGCGAGTGGTTGTCGACACGACTATGAGGCTCAATGCTGAGACGGGGGCGCTAGTGGTGGTGAGGAGAGAGGGAAGGAGGGAGAAGAGAGCAGGGGAGGAGGAGGCGAGGGAGGGAGGGGGGAGGGAGGGGAGGGAGGAAGAGGAGGGAAGGGAGGGAGGATCTGATGCTGCTTGACTGGCTGGCAGTTCGATGATAACGCCAGGTCGAAGATGCGAAAGTTCCGACTAGACCGCGCGGAGTATGCGGTGAGCCCTCCAGAGAAGAAGCATCCTCTCAAGTATCCTGCACCTGCGACAATGAAGGTGAATACAAAGAGAGGGAAAGGAGGAGAGAAGAACATGAAATGAGGTTGGGAGGGGAGGGGAGAGCGGAAAGGAGCAACGTGCGAGCAGAGGAGGAGGTGAAGGTCAGAACTGACTAACCACCAGGCGAACGCGAAGAAGTTCGAGGGAGAGCTCTCTATGAGGCTCGAGAAGGCGCTGAGGAAAGGAGACATCACCCCCTCCAGGAAGGTCTCCGACGTCATCCCCAGCAGAGGGTCCAGCAGGAGGAAGCCTTCCGCCTTCACTCCCATCGGCCACACACCCCTCGACGTGATTAAGGCGGAGGCGGAGGAGGAGCGAGGGCGGCACGTGTCGAGGAGCAGGAGGGAGAGGTCGAGCTCTGTGCCGGGCCGGGGGCGTCTGGACGTGAGGAGGAGGTAGCAGCTGCGTGCTGTGCTGGCTGAAAGTGACGAGAGAGGAAGGGCTGAATCTGAATCTCCTACGAGGAAGAGCCGAAGTCGACATAGAAGATCGTCAAGAAGACCAAGTCACAGGTTGAAATTCCTTTCCCTCTCCTCCTCTTGCCTCCGTCCCTTGCTCGCTCGTGCTCTCTCCCACTCTCCCTCTCCCTCTCCTTCCGTCCCTCTTCTCACTCCTTCTGCTCCCCTCTGATCACCTCACCGTCCTCAGGGAGGATCGCAGCCTCTCCTCCAGCTCCTCCCAGGGGTCACGTGGGCGATCGAGGAGACGACACTCGACGTACGAGCGAGCACGCGGGAGAGCGCAGGAGCTGGTTGTGAGGTGAGGGGGAGGAGGTGGGGAGAAGAGGGAGGAGGAGGAGGAGGGAGGAGGAGGAGGAGGAGGAGGAGGAGGAGGAGGAGGAGGAGGGAGGAGGACGTCCCCGTTT